TCACAATAAGCTGGATTGTCATTAAATACATAAATGTGATCAACACATTTTTTATTCTAGACGCAGTACGCAGTAGGCCCCGCCGCGGAGGTAAAATGCCCTGGGTACGAGGTTGAGTAGGCCCATTAGAACATTTATCGCTGCATGAATAATAATAGCCTGCCCGCAGCCTGACATTAAAATCACAATTTTCAGTAAAACAGAAGCTCTTTTACGCAGACACGATTGGTATCAGGCACTATCAGTCCATTGGCATTGGCATTGCAAAATATTGTCGCACAAATACCAAACTCATTTTAACTATGCCGCGCAAAATGCCAAACTTCAATTAAGAATCAATATTTTCGAAAAAAATGAACGTTCTCTTTTTTATTGGAATAACAAGGATTTAGTCCGTTATGTAAACAAACGGTTTGTTTACATTTTGAACTGCTGTATTCTTAAAATATGATGTATACTGTCTGAATATTTAACACCATTTTGGTTCGCTATGCTTCTAAATGAATATGAAAGAGTTTATGTTCAGAAAAATTCGAAACATTCGAAATTTGGGCAATGTTCACATTAGAGGTCCTCACATTGTTATGAGTAGAACCGATCACCGATGAGCAGAACGGACTTGACTTCCCCTTTAATGTTGGTAATTACTGCTCCAATGTACGTCTTTGTCCACTTTCATTTCAAGCCAGTTTACAAACGAAATTGCATTATTACCATTAATTACTTTATCTGACTTAGTCACCGGCACACGTATAACTTTGTGAATCCGAAATGCGGCATACATTCATAAAAAATCCCACTGAACTATTTGGAAAAGAAAGTATAGATTTCATCTGTAATTAGCCTAGAATGACAGAATATGTTTGAAATTTATAACTGATTCATGCTAAATGGTGCAATATGATATGTCCATATCGATCTGCTTTAATTATGCGCAAGCGATAATTTTATGGTATTGTAACATAGTGGTCAGCTGCGCATGCGCAGCTAACCACAAAAACTTAAAACTGGATAAATAGAACGCCGTAAATGTTTAATAAAAAGTTTGAAAAATAAACTTTGGAACTTAATGGTTGACACGCATGCGTATTGTATCTATTTTATTATTGACCGGTTAATAAATGTTTCATTGACCGGTTGCCGAACATGACATTTTGTGAACTGGCACGTGATACTGGTTTTAACCAATCAGCAAACAAAAAAATTGAATTTTGACACCAATTACCGGTATAACAATTTAATTTGCGTCCTGAAATAATGTGAGGCATACATTCTTACATCAAATCACTACAATACGGTCTACGCAAACTATAGCAAACAACAGGGCCTATTTTAGAGTGCAGTATTGCACACTTTGTGCAGTATTGAATAAAAAGTGTGCAGTATTGAATGCGAAAGTGTGCAGTATTAAAATTTGAAGTTTGAAATAAATTTCAACTTTGTATTAGATGTGCTGAAGAAGCGAAGTAAAACTATAAAGTCGAAAATTCCAAAATGCCTTTGCAACAAAATGAGCAAAGGCACAAACAAAGATTGGCCAAATATATTCCAAGTTCCAGTGATAATTCCAATATTCAATATTTTCATGTCCATGATTACAGAGCCTCTTTTAAGGATATGTAACTGGGGGGAGTTTAGCGGGGGATCTGGGTAAGTTCTAGTCGGCAAATATGTGTCACTGTAGCTACCAATAAGCGTTAGTTTAAGCCTGGTTCACATATGCCTGCGGTATGCCTGCGACTGTATCATTATGCCTCTACTTGCCGCGGAAATACCGGCAAAGTTTAACTCAAGTCAACTTTCCCGGTCTACCGCTGATGTAACTGTGGCACTGGAGGCAATCGGCGAACAAATGTTCGCACAATTTACTTTTTAAAGCTAGCACTGGCATCGTCGCCGGTATGTCGCAGCCATATATGTGAACCAGGCTTTAACTAATAAATATACAGTCGAACCCCTCTAAGCGGACACCTCTCTTAAGCGGTCACCTCTTTTAAGCGGACACATATCTCAGGTCCCATTTGGTTTCTTTAATAAAAAACTATTATCATAACCCCTATTAAGCGGACACCCCTCTTTAACGGACGTGGACACCTTTCTGGAGGTCCCAATGGGCAAATCAACCTCTCTTAAGCGGACAGATGACAGATAAGCAGACAGATGACACACTTTGCCTTCAGAAGCGTATTTTCGGTATAAATGCGCAGACTCACGAGAACGAGTGGCGAAGGCACAAGTTGAGCGTCAAAGACGCGAGCTTTTAAGGGGTCTCTTAAATGGTATTTCCAGAGTTCTGAGAACAGAATTTGCAAAATCTTTGACCGTTTTGCGTGGATTACATTAATATATTTTCAGTTTAATATATTTTCAATACACACTTTTCAATTTACAAGAGCACGTTCGCCTTTTACAAGGACACGGTACAAAGACACGCCATTTTAATGCCTGGTCATGCATATGGCGATAGAGATTTTACTGTAAGTTTAGAATCGCTTTGCGCAATTCTAAGTCAGATCTGGCAGGACCATTAGGCTGCAGCGTCCAATAATTTGCTAACAATACATTCTTTTTTCCAAAATCATGCAGACTTTTATCATTAAAATAATATACTGTAGAATACTGACAATTGATCAATTTTAAGTAGGTAATTATACATGACAAACTGCAAAAGATGAAGTTATAACCCTGCAATTTATCCAATATATTAATATAGTTAATTAAATAAGCTTTAGTCCGCTAGTATACTATTAAATTGTAAAAAAAACTGTGAATTTCCATATACTAAAACGCTGGTTTCTGACCGTAAAATTCTGTCAAATCTTCACCAAAGTCCAGGAAATGGCATTTCGGATACTCTAATTGTAAGAATTTCTTCGGGCCCTCGTTTTCAGCCCCAATCAAAAAGAGATTTTTAAAGGCTCTCCCTTGTAGAATCAAACACTATTTATTTGCTATTTATTTCCTATTTTATTGGGCTATTTAATCCCTATTTGTCAAAGTATTTATTTCCTATTCTTACTATTATTTTTTCTTGATGTTTTTCCTATTTAAGTTAGGGTAGAAAGGCTATTTTTTCCTATCCAAATGGAACCATATTTTTTTCCTATTCATGATATATTTCTAAACAAATAGTTAGTTGATGTACTCGAATAAAATCTATTCGGTGTGGAGTACCGCAAGGTTCTATCCTTGGTCCACTTCTTTTTTTATTATATATCAATGGTCTATGTGATGTTACAAATGTACTTGAATTTATTCTGTTTGCTGATGACACGAATCTATTTTACTCCCATAAAAACCAATCTTCCTTAGCTAGTGTAATTATAATCATGAAATTAATAACTTATCTGAGTCGTTTAGGGCAAATAAATTATCAATAAATATAAAGAAATCTAATTATACGCTATTTAAATCCAGACAAAAAGATTAAACATTGAATTACCTATAAATTAATTCTTAGGCGTTACCCTTGACGAGCATATATCTTGGAAGCCCCACATTTCACATGTAGCCAGGAAAACATCTAAATCAATAGGTATTATATATAAGGCAAGTTTTTGTCACTCAAAAACGTCTTTATATAAACTGTACTACAGTATTATCTTGTATATCCTTATATCAATATTGTATAATTGTTTGGGGTTTAACATATTAAACCAATAGACCTTTCCCCTTATAACCAAAATTTTGATCTAGGCATGTCTAGACAAATATTTCATCACAGCTTGAAAGAGCATCATAAAATTAGTAATATTCCAAAGTTTCGTTGCGAAATGTCGTAAAATGAGGAAAACAGAGCCTTGCGAAGTTTGCAATTTTCAGTCATTTTGCATTACAAACGGGAAATTGCAGTCCCAACACCCGAATCGTATGTCAATTTCCCGTTTGTAATACAAAATGACTGAAAAACGGCAAACTTCGCAAGGCTATATTATCTGCATTTTACAAGATTTTGCAACAAAACTTTGGAATATTACTAATTTTGTGATGCTCTTTCAAGCTGTGATGAAATTTTTGTCTAGATCGAAATTTTAGTTATAAGGGGAAAGGTCTATTTAAATCGTATTGTATTGCTTCAAAAGCGTGTTACAAGAGTTGTCAATAAAGACAAATTTGATGCTCATACTGAGCCAATATTTAATGAATTAAAGATTTTGACAGTGGAGAAAATTTACAAATATCACATTGGTAAATTCATGTACTTGTATCAAAATAATTTACTTCCAAACGTTTTTGACGGTTTTTTAACTCTGTTCGGTCAAGTTCATAATTATCATAAACGTAATGCTAGTTTGTACCTGCTTCTCTTCTGTAGGACTAATATTAAAAAATTCTCAGTTAGTTACCAGGATCCAATTTTTTTTTAATACTCTAAGCCAAGATATTCGTCAAGCGCCAACGTTTTTATAATCAATCTTTCTACTTCAACTGGCATTAATTGTCCCGGATAAGATGAAAACTGCTCGTGTCATACCGTTATTTAAATCTGGTGATCATAGACATTTCCAAAACTATAGACCTATTTCAATTTTACCTACTTTTATCCAAATTGTTGGAAAGAATTGTATATAATCGCATAATAAATTATGTTGACAAATTTGACATTATATCTGACCATCAGTACAGCTATCTTTAGAGAAAATCATTCAACGTCACAAGCGTTATTGCAATTGTATAACAAAATTGGCAAAAATTTTGGGACGTAATTTTTGGGAGAACATTTTCCGGAAAATTGTTGCTTTCCCGAAAAAATTCTTATGTGTTACTCGATTCAATGTGTGAAAACTTCAGGGCATTTATTAGATGCAACTAGGAATAGAGCCTGCCTGGGGTTATATAGTGGAATTTTTAGCAATTGTTCCTGCTTAGGTCTAACAAATGTATATAAATTTCCACTCGATAATTTACATGTAGAAAACCCTTCAACAAATACAAATACATCTGGTTTCGCTTAATTTAAACATCTTTAAATATTTCATTCATGTTCTCTACCTGTACAGAAATTCGAAGACGTCATCGACGGACTGTTTGATGATATTAAAAATCTCATTGAAGAAGATAAATGCCGTCGGGAAGTCCAAAGCTCTATCACTACACGTACTGATTCAGAAGCCGATTCCGACGAACTCCACACGGTGAGTACAATGAGTAACCATCTATATAAATGGTTACTCAATTTTGATTTTAATAAAGCCGCACAATAAATTCTCAGTTTAAGTTAACGTTCATGCCTTACAAGACGTTTTCAACAATCATCACTGTTGTCTAGTTCATTGTTAAACACACCTGAGAAAAATTTAAACATAAATTTAATTGCACATGCATAAAGCTAGGACAATAAGTTGATTTAATTCCATGGCTATATGCTGAAAGATAGCAGACTTAATAGACACTATACATATATAGTCACTAGAATAAGTGTTTTATTGTTAACACTACTGCATGGTGTAATTTTAAATTAAATAGAAACAGAAGTCCCACTGGTTCACATGCTCTTTAATTAATGAGAGATATTTTTTTTAAATTTTTTGACATACTTTAATTTTGCGGTAAATGTATGTAATTGTTTAATTGAAAACAAAATGCATTTATAATATGTATTCTGCCCTTTTCCGTTTGTATCTTTGTTCTTATAAAATTAAACTAATACATTGTCGTTTTTGTTTCAGGAAACAAAGGACGTTAAAAATAATTTTAGAGAGAAATCTGATAGTGAAGAAAGCTGGAAACCCTCCAGAAGCGATGAAGAGTCGAAGGAAGAACCAGAGCCTTCAAAGAAAAGAAAATCAGAAGAAACCATAGATGGTCAACCAAAAAAAAAAGTGAAAGTTTTGAAAGGCAAAAAGCAAAGTTTGCGGGAAGAAAATGGCGGAAAAGAAGAAAAAGACGTAGAAAAATACGTTGGTGAAGGAAGTAATACGATTTCCACTCAAGCTAGGCGAAAGTTAACGTGTCCTTTACGTTCATGCAGGTCAAACGTCGTTCATTTGCCTCGTCATATGCGCAATGTTCATAAGTGGACGAAGGAAGCGGCAGCAAAGGTACTTCTCAAGTACAACATTAGAAAAAACCAGCAAGCTGAACCAACGAATAAGGACTACCACCGTCGTCGTCGCTGTCCAGTCAGTAAATGCCACTCCATTGTCCTTCGTTTGCCTGTCCATTTACGGAAGGTACACAACATGAAGTATCATTCCAAAGAATATTCCGAAGCTTTGGCGAGTGCCACGTTTGTATCGAAAAAAAAGCATCCGGCAATTCTTTGGAAGGAAGAACGTGATCAAATATCTACTCCACCTGAAATGATGTTGGGAAATGTACAAAAAGAAAAAAATGACGATGGGCACACGTCGCAGAGTGAATCTGAAAGCTTGGGAGAAAGAAAGAGTTGCTTAAATAAAGTGACTGCTCATCCCCTCTTCATAAAATTCGAGGAATGGTTGAAGTCACCAGATGGTGGAAAAAGGGATAGCAAAACAGTTAGCCAACACAGTGCACAACTAGTCAACATGTTGAATGCGATTGACGACACTGGTGAAATCGAGTCCCTCCTTGATATAGGACTTGTGAGAAGTGCTTTTCTGAACACCCATGTCAACGCAAAAAAGTACGAAGCAGGGACAATTAAATCCTATCTGATGAGTTTGCGTCATTTCTTTTCATTTTTACTGGCAGAAAACCCAGATGAGGTTAATTTCAACGTGGAAGAAGTCACCTCATCAAGAGAGAAAGTACGCCTATGGTCGACGTCTTATAAGAGAGATTCATGCACTCGTCGGTGGATGAAACTAGAGGAGGATGTGTTTAATCGTCTAACGCCGGCCAGCATTAGAGAATTCGAGAAGAGCGAAGCACCTCGAGAAGCAGTCAAATTGATTGGAAAAATTTCGGACCCCTCCAACGCCCCACTTGTCACCCAAATGGCATACACTTTGGTGCGAGACTTTCTGTTTGCCCAAATTTTCATCGATAACGCAAACAGACCAGGGGTTTTATCATCCATGACATTAAATGAGTTCTACAACATGCGTAAAGAGGGTGATGACTATCTAATAGCAGTAAAAGCGCACAAAACTGTCCACATTCATGGGGCAGCGTATATAGTATTGAGCAAGAGATTGAAGGCTTGGCTCACTATCTTCGTGCAATACATGCGATTCAAAGTCACGACCTCAACGACCGGCCCTGTGTTTTTATCGTGGAATGGGCAAAGCATGACACCTGGGCAGATAAATAAAGCAGTCCAGTCAGTGTTTAAGAAGGCTAAAATTTCAACGAAAGTTACGTCCACATCTTTTCGTAAGGCTGCTGTGACACAGATGCACGAGACTAACCCGGAGTTAAGTGGTAAACTGGCTGGGTTAATGGCGCATAATGAAGCCACGGCAAAAAAGTACTACCTTCTGTCGGAAAAGTCAAAAGCGTCCGTAGAGGCATCCAAGAAACTAGCAAGCTAATGCGAGATCAGGATTCTGCAACCAGCCCATTAAAAAGTAATACAAGTGAATCTGGCAGTAGTGAGAAAAAAGAGCTTGGGAGGAAGAGAATGCCTTGGACTCCTGAAGACCTTGAGAAAGTTCAAGAAACTTTTCGTGAAGAAATAGAGCAGCACACAATTACGCTTGACGTTGTTCGTAACAAAGTTGGTACAAATAAGCAACTTCAAGGCATGTCACCACGAAGGATCTATGACAAGCTCAAGAAAAGTTTAAACCAACAGTCACTGAATGCCAAATCTAACGTCACTGTCGACCCGCCTAAAGAATGCGAATCGTTGCATGACAAAATTGAAAGAATAGCGGCCTGTTCTACAGAAAATGAAAGCGTTACTCATGGTGGACATTCATCAGTCAGCATCATTTCGCCTACCGAAAGGTCTACTGGAATCTTTTCAGACGAAGAAGTCATCACCATAAAGGAAATGTTTTCCGATATGATTCTTGGCAAACCAATTTCAAAAGCGGAAATAGAAAATAGGTGTTCCAAAACAGTAGAAGGTAAACCGCTCTTACATAATCTGTCCGTTTTCCAACTTGTAAACCGTATTAAATATGAAAGAAAAAAGAAGAGAAGTGAAAACCAATGAATATAGCAATATAACTGGTTAACGTTTTAACTTAGACTTCTTATACGCTCCTATATGAAAGGTAGCAGTTATAGAAGAGTTTGCATCACTACACAACTAGTTATTTAACTATTCATAGGGCGAACATCCCTTATAGGGAACAACGTGTTAACTGCCAATAACTGTAGTGAAGAACATATGCAGAGCAAACGTTTTAGCTTATTTTGACACACTCTATATATATGAGATATAAATGAATAGGCTTGATTGTGTGGATTGATGCATGAATAGGATTGTGTGTTTGCTCCATCAGCGTTAACTTAAGTTAGCTACAGGACGTTAAGACTCTTAAACTAGAGTAAGTGCATGTTTTATTAGCGGGCTTAACCATGCACGTGACGTTTTTGACAACACGAACGTTTACCGCAAGCAAATTCGACGTTATCAACCAAACAACATTTTTGACGCAGTCTTCTGAGTCGTTCGTGTTGTCAAAAACGTCGCTTGCTTAAGCTCGCTATTCATTATACACATCTTTGCCGAATTATTTCTAGAAACAGGTTCAGTGTCCAGACATTTTGCCGAAAGACACTTTGCCGAAAGGCATCTGTTCTGATGCTCAAAACAATTCATTCACCTGTTCTAAATGCTATAGGCAGGTTGCACATAAATTCGTTGTTGTTTACTATTTGCAACCAGCTTGTCCTTCGCTCTTGTGGTGCTACACAACAGCAAAGAGCCTGTAAAGAGGTTGCCAAGTATTAAATAAAGAATAATATATACACGGGTGCGCAAAAAACCCAGATTTATTTCGAGTGTTGAACATCATGATGAAGAGTGAGCGCAGCGAACGTGTGAGATAGCATGCTCAACACGAGAAGTAAATCTGGTATTTCCAAGCATCCATGTACTTTTCAATTTATTATATAAAGGATCACAGTCTTTGGAAAGCGATAATTTTTACAGAAAAGCGATAATTAAAAAATAATTTTCACATGTGAATTAAGTTATCATAAATAATCTCACATGTAAGATTATCAGTTTTATCAGTGCTCGAAATATACTATACTTTAAATAACAAAGAATGTTAAACATGTATGACAAGAGAAAATGTGGATTACATGTAACAATTTATTTCTAATTTCATCCGCGTTATACTGTATCCGGTTTTCTTCTATATTCAACTGATTTGTCATTTTAGGACAATGTTAAAAATATTTATCTTTGTAAAGCATTAACTGTAAATAGTTTGTTCTTAAACACGAGGGACCTTTTTGACTATACAGGGTATGCTCGATCATTGCTTCAAAATAATTGTTATAGCTTATTAAGAACTGCTACAGTAGCTGGATTCTTACGTTACGGCAGCGATGTTACATGCATGCAGCTTGTTATAGAACAATTAGATTTATGTTGTTTTTTGGTTGTAAATAATTCATGTTTGTAAAATATTTTCTATCAGATATACGTTAGTTATATATTATATATATATTAAACACTCCATTTTGTGGGGTTTTTATGGGTGATTTCAGCTACATTTGATCAAGGTTTAAGGAAAACGAAATCCAACACTATCCTGGCATGCATGCATGAACGGTTAGAACTCTTTCCTATAAGAATGAGTAAAACTAATGAGTATAAAATGTTCTAAAATAAAGAAAATATATATATAGCCCTGTTAAGTTTGCAAATTTTGTATTCGTATTGTGCGCGATAAAAAACAGTTTCGGCTTAAAAATACATATATATATATATATATATATATATATATATATATATATAGATAGATAGATAGATAGATAGATAGATAGATAGATAGATAGATAGATAGATAGATAGATAGATAGATAGATAGATAGATAGATAGATAGA